TACAATAAAATGCTCACACAACAAATGGAAAGAGATAATCCTGGCAGCAAATGGCTTTGATTAAAAAAAAAAAATGGAAAGAGATAACTTTCAAGAGTGGGGTATTTGGGCCGGGCACGGTGGCTCACGCCTGTAATCCTAGCTCTCTGGGAGGCCGAGGCGGGCGGATTGTTTGAACTCAGGAGTTCGAAACCGCCTGAGCAAGAGCGAGACCCCGTCTCTACTAAAATTAGAAAGAAATTAATTGGACAACTAAAAATATACAGAAAAAAATTAGCTGAGCATGGTGGCGCATGCCTGTAGTCCCAGCTACTCGGGAGGCCGAGGCAGGAGGATCGCTTGAGCCCAGGAGTTTGAGGTTGTTGTGAGCTAGGATGATGCCACGGCACTCTAGCCCGGGCAACACAGTGAGACTTTGTCTCAAAAAAAAAAAAAAAGAGTGGGGTATTTGAATTACATTATGTATGCAGGGATATTCCCTTTCTAAAGATGACTAGTTATAACAATAACTAGTTCCATTTATTGAATGCTTCATGTGACAGGCACTGTGCTTAATGCTTTACAGACGTTATCTCCATTTAATCTTCCCACCAATCCTACAAGGTGGATATTATTATCCCTATTTTCAGATGAGGAAAGCAAAGCTTATTCTGCAAATATTTGTTGAATAACGAGTTATGTGCCAGTTCCTATTCAATGCAAAGTTGAAGCTTAGAGAGATGAAGAAACCTGGAGTTTGCACACAGTCCTGTCTCTGTTCTTATCATGTCCCCATCCTGCCTTACTGGAAAGAATGTTTAAAGAAAACATTTCATATATTTGTGTTATAGAATGTCTTCACCTTAGTTCCCTATAGATTTTATTAATGTCTTTCATCATATGCAACTCTAAAATCATTAAACTTTATATCTGGAGGGAAACCTAGAGAAGACCCTTACATTTTCTGAAATTTGAATTTTCTCAAATAAAATATTGAAATTGATGTCAAAATGCCTGTCCTTTCTTAAGATATGTGTCAATCAGGCAAATATTCTTAATACTTTTGAGAAATTTCAAAGAAAAAACAAAATTCACACATGAAAGACATGTCACCATGTATTTTGTTAAACTATTATCTTACATGAGATAAAATTTGAGCCTAAATCTTACCTTTCTCTCTGGAAAGAAATAGTTAAATAGTCTCTAGTGACCACTTTTTCTTTTTTGTAAAAAATAAATATGCTTTAGATAACGTAAAAGGAAAAAACTTTTTCCTAGAGGTGATGATGATTACACTTTATGGGTTTTCTATAGTAGTGACAGATCTATATGTATAGAGCTGTGAATTTTGGATGTATGTGAGGTAGAGGTTGCACCATGAGCCATCGTTAGTCATCTTGCAACTTTTCCAGAGTGATGTAACTCCATTTTTGAACAAATGTTGAGTTAAATAAATGCCTATTTAAACTTGTATACAAAGGTTATAATTATAGCAGGAAATTGTTGGGGGCAGAGGAGGTTAAATCTAGTTGTCCTGTCATACATTAGGAATGATTTCTTGGAAATCTAGTTCAGATTTTCTACTGAGGTTTGCTGTTTCCCTCTACTGTAGTTTCAAGTAATAATGTTCCAATATTTTGCTTCTGACAGAGATTTGTTGGGGAGGCGGGGAGAGATCAGTAGGTAACTGAATCAGCCCTTTCTGCTGATTTTGCATTGAGGAGGTCAAAAAGATAGTAGAATCTGAAGATGTCACTTAATATTATAAAATTTGTTGGAATACATAAAAGGCTCAATGTTAAAAGAAAGTTCTAGAGCAGTGCTGTCCTGTAGAATTATAGTGTGAGTCTTGATAAGTAAGCCACATATGTAAATATACATTTATGGTAGCCACATAAAAAGTTTTTAAAAGGTGAAATTAATTGTAATGAAATATTTTATTTAACCCAATATATTCAAAATATCATTTCAACATGTAGTCAATATAAAAGTTATCGATGAGATGCTTTACATTCTTTTTTTTTTTTTTTACTAAGTATTTGAAATCTGGTATGAACTTTACACTGACAGTACATCTCGATTTGGAGCAGCCAACCTCATTTTAAGCGCTCAATAGCCATGTGGCTAGTGGCTACCATATTAGCCCGTGCAGGGCTGGAGATCTGAGGAAACTATTCTTTGAATAGCTACACTTAGACTTCTCCTTTGTTAAACAAGAGGGAAAAAGTAATCCTGCTCCGGGCAATAGCAGCTTCTATGTTTAAATAACTCTTTTTGCTGCCACCTGCAAGAAAAATCCTCCAGCCTCATTTGATCTTCCCAAATTCACCCAACCAAAGAGAGTGGTTGCATTGCTCTTGGGTTTAACAAAAGAAATAAAAGGAAAAAGATATTGTTAACCCCACAAAAATCATTTTCTTTTGGTGGCAAAAGGAAGTATAGTCTTTTTCTAAATCAATTCACAAATACTTATCAAGTCGATCCTATGTGCAAGACATCTGTGGTACTTTAACCCATTATTAACAGTTCATTTAATGCTTAATTCCCGAAATGTGATCACTGCTCACAATTACTTTTACAGATCGGTTAACTTTGTTTTCAGAGTTATTCCTCTGGTTCTCAGGGTAAACAGAAATGAACAAAAGTTGATACTGAAAATGGCATACAATGTTTCATTTTTAAAAGGTTGGTTCATCCTTTGCGTGGAGTAATTAGCGCTGGACAGTGTTAGACACATAACTGTCTCTTCAACTATGTATATTTTTACTAAAGCAAGAATATTAACAAGAATAATTGATCACGGGGGGCATAATTTACCTTAAACCAACCAAATTGACGAACTTCTTTTTGCTATAAGGAGTGGTAATGTGGCTCTGCAATGTAAATGAAAGATCAATTAAACGTTTTGTACATAAGTTCAAAATAATACACAACTCTTTATTTTCAAACTTCTGCAAGCACGTTTTATCATCGGGAATTACACAGGAGGTGCTGCCAGATTAGCTGAGCTTGGGCCCAGGTTGGATTTGCAGCACCTGAATCAAGCATGTTGAGGGAAGTGACAAAAGCATGAGCCAAGTGGCCTCATCTGCCCCCTCCCCCAGACCACGCTGAGCCTGCCCACATGTTGCCCAACCTGAGCTGTCCCCCTGAGTCCAAGGCTGCGGGAGAGGGCGAGCAGCAAGGATTTCCGGCCGACTTCTCAGGCTCCCTAAACAGTTGGAGCTTCCCCAGATGGCCACGAGGCTTCCCGGCCTCAAGCCGGTGCCAAGGGAAGCACTGACGAAGGCAGCAGAAAGAGCTCAACACCTGCCTCTCGCAGGCCCAGAGAGAAACCTCGCGCCACCCCGGCAGACCTGGCCGGCTGGGTGTGGGGCTCTAATCTCATCCTCGCACCTGCGTTAGGGAGGCAGGTGAGGGCTCTCCAGGTGTCTGGGTCCCGAGATAATGAAAGGAAGCTGTTAATAGGCGTGCACTGGGAGCGCAGCGGGGGACGCGCTGTGGTCGCCGGGCGTGGGAGGACCTGGATGCCTGGGCCGCGGCCTGAGGGACTGAAGGGACAGGCCAGCCCGGAGATTTCCCTTTGCTTTTTTCCTTCCCCTTGCAGGGCGGTTAGCCAGGGGCTGCAGTAGATTTCCACTCAGCCCGGCGACTTTTTTGCACATTTCTGCCCTGGCGCACTGAGCGCGCAGCGGCACCTGGCGCTGTGTACGCGGGGTCGAGTCCTACTGGGACTCACTCCGGACGCCCAGGCCTTTTCCCCTAAGGTCTCCTGGTCCTCTAGGGCTCTGTCGCCGTCGGGGGATTGGGTTTCCTTAAGCCAGGGCTTCCCTATATTGGGCAGGAGGAGGAGTCAGAACCCCTCCCCTCCCTCCTCCTCTTCCTCCTCCTCCTCCTCCTCCTCCTCCTCCGCCCACAGCCAGCCTGATTTTTTAATCTAATCTTTTATTTAAAGTCAACAGAGGAGCAGGAACCCCGCGCTCCTGCCTACAAGATATATTTTAATAACTCCCAACCTCTGCCGAGAGGGGCGGCCTTAAGAAATCTCCCTGTTTTCCCCTTCTTGAAGAGTTAGGTAGTAGGGTTGGGGGGTTTCGAGGGTCGGGGCTGAAGGCCTAGGGCTCTGCGCACTTGGGGAGGGGAATTGAGGGGGGCAACTCATGCAAGACGGATGAATCCCAAATGTCAAAAATTTAACACAAGAGCGTCAACTGGGAGAGCACTAAATCAAACCGGTAGCCGATCCCCCAGGGGGCTCCCGGACACTAAGCCTCCCATGTCCCGGTCGGGGAGGAGGGGGGCAGGTGAATGCCCAGCGTGTGACCCGGGAGAGGGAGACTCTTGGGCCATTAGGGGACGTGCCCGTAGAGTAGGCGCGCCCCGTATGCATCCCTGGAGGAGACAGGCCAAAAAGACACTCCATGCCCCCTCCCTCGGTCCTTGGCACGGGACTGCGCCCCCAGCGCCTTGCCCATCTTCCTCCCCAGCTGGGCGGGGACCACTGTTCTCCCATTCCCAAAGAGCCTCCTCCGACCTGCTTGGACCCTTGGTAGTTAAAGACTCCCAGACTTTCGCCCCTCCCGCCTTGCCCATTTCTTTCCCCCGCCTCCCGCCGACGCCCCCAGATCTCTTGGGCTCGCCCTTCCTGAAAGTAGGCGAGGCCCAGCAGCCAAGGCTGGGGCGCAGAAGGAGACGGGTGGGAAGAGGGAGGAGCGGCGCGCGGCGGCCCGGGGGCGTGCCTTCCGCTAGCCCAGCCCCTGGGTGCGCGCGGCGGTGGCGGCGGCGGCCGTGCCTCGCTCTGAGAGACAGGTATCGCTTAGGCGCCATGTTGTGAGCGGAAGTGGGGGAGCGCGCGGCGGTCGCTGTTCTGCTGGGAGCGGGCGCGGGAACCGGCGGGGGGGGTGGGGGCGGAGCCGTGGTCCGGGCGGCGGAAGGAGGAGAGGAAGAAAGGGGCGAGACCCGGTGCCCGGCGGCGGCGCGAGGCTCTCGCTGAGCGCGCGGGTGTCTCTGGCTAGGCGCGCGGCGTTCAGGCGGTCGGTGTCGGCGTCGAGCCTTCTCCCGGGCCGTCGCCGCTGCTGCTGCTGCTGCTGCTGCTGCCGCCGCCGCCGCTGCCGTGGGGCTCGGGCGGCGACGGAGCGGGGCCGGCCGCGGGGCGGGTGGGGAGGGAGGAGGCGGTGAAGGCGGCGGGCCGGGGGGGAAGATGCCGCTGGCGCAGCTGGCGGACCCGTGGCAGAAGATGGCTGTGGAGAGCCCGTCCGACAGCGCTGAGGTGAGTGCAGCAGGACGGCCGGGGCCGGCGCGCCTCCTCCCCGCGCCCCCGCCGGCTCGCACTCCTCCCCGGAGCTGGCCACTGGGCCCCTTTTTCTCCCGCTCGCGTCTCCCCCCGGTTCAGGATTTTGGTTTGGGGTATTGGGGTTGATCTGTTTGCCCGTCTGGCTGTTCCTCCCACCCGCACCCTCACCTCCCTCCCTCGCTCGGGGGGCTGCCGGTGTGGTGGCGCGTGGGGTTTGGAGTGGGCGCTGGGGCTTTGCAAGAAGCAAATTTAATCAACTTTGCGTGGGGAAAGCGGGAGGCAGAGCGGGGGCCGGCGGGGAGTTGGGAAGTTTGGCCCTGCCGGGGGCTTCCCCGGACCTTGGCGACTTTGGAGGCTAAAGGAGGGGTATGGATTGGCTTCGCCCGGGAGCAGGGACGCTCGAGTCCGGCCGAGGGAGGGGGTTGCTGCGGGGATATAGGCGCGCGGAGGCAGGGGTGGTGACCTGTGGGGGTTTTGGGTAAGGGGTGCAGGACAGCTGAGGGTTTTGCCTCCCCTCATCTGCCTGCCGCAGCCGTTTCTGCTGCTGCAAAGGAGAAAGTGGAAGCCTGAGGTCCCTCACCCCCTACCCTCTCGTTCCTGAGGTCGCTGAGCTCGAGGACCCGTCCCTGCGAGTTTAACTTGAGTTTCCTGTCCATGGAGGTGAGAGGGTGATATTCAAGGAGATCAGCCGCTGCCGTAAAGGGCTTTCTGGTTTTTCTCGCCCAGGATCTGGTGGTGACCGTCCCTGAGACACCCACCCGAGTGCCCAAAACCCAAACAATACACCCAAACAGGGCAAAACAGAATTTCCCCGGACACATCACTGCACCGAGCTTTTCGCAGCCGCCCCTGTCCCAGAACCGACTCGGGGTCTGCGAAAATAATCCAGACAAGACCTATTCCAGGGTATCAGCGCTCCTCTCCGGAGTGGAAAATCAATTCCTGATGGTGGCGCGTCTGTGATTCTTCCTTCTTGACTTTTTGCTGTCTTCTATCCCCGCAGCGGACTTTGGGGGGTTACAGGATGATGGGCTGCGTGTGTGTAATAGTTACTGAGTGAGTGACCCCATTTCTGGAAAGCATGACTGAAACGCGGGGGTGGAATGGGGCAGGCTCTGATGAGTGGTGTACTTGGCGGCAGCCGCTGCCCTGCCGGCCTCCGCAGTGTGCGAGGTGGATAGGGTTACTGGTTACGTCAGTAAAGCCGAGGCTCGGTTTGATCTGAGATGCGGGACACTTGCATTCTCGGGTATAATGGAGGGGGAGGGGGATCAGTTCAAATCGCTTTTCAATTTTTTCCCAGTCACCTCCACTGTTGTATAAAAATGTTTACTTGTTCTTCTTAACACAAGCAGGGGTGTAATAGTGCTTACGATTGGTGCTTAGTATTTTGCGACTTGGATCATACTTGTAAAACCGAAATTAAATGCTGTTCTTCAATAGAAAAGACATTGCTATATGTTAAAGAAAGGGAGAAAGAAAAAGAAAATCATGTTTTTGAGACTGGCAGAACCACAAGAATTTTATTTTAAATTGTTATCCCGTCTAATACTATAAATCTTTTATAAGGAAGTCAAATTTAGAATGTTTAATCATCCTCTGGTTGGATAGTGTGAAAAACAGTATGCAACGGGGCTCTTTTCATTTTTTTTCCTTCAGAGATTTTTTTGCATTAAATAATATAGCTAAAAGGTTAATAAAATGTTCTCAAAGTGCTGAACTTGTGGAAAGAAATTTAATTTGCTTTGAGCCTGATTTTTAGATACAAACATTAACAATTGCAACTAAGGATCGGTCCACTTTTCTGCGTGGCATGTATCAATATGTAGGAAAAAATATCATTTAAAATTCCACCTTATCCTTTTTCTATATAGAATACATTTGGATAACGAAGGCACAAAACTGGTATTTATTTAGCACCTACTATGTGTCAGGTCCTGTACCACATGCTGTTTCATTTTACCCTTCCTATGACCCAGCAGGGTAGGGTTATGGTCCCCATTGTTACAGATTAGGAAACCAAATCTCAGAAGTTAAGGGCACAAAGATTATAAATAGTAAATGGCAGAGCCATAATTCAAAGCCAGGTGGATACAATTTATGTGCTTTGCTTTATATTACGGTAGCTGCTTCAAATCTTTTGTGGAAAAATTCAGAGTATGAATAAATAAGCCAGTAGTTAGAGATCATGTATTTTTCAGAAACAAATAGAGTATTATAAGAGGTCTCATTTGGTAAAGCCGTGTTATTTCAGTTGCTATCATGTTGTCTAGAACTTGGCAGATAGGTTTCCACAATTTGCCATTTTCAAAGAATTTTCTTGCTATTCTGGCATAAGGTATGTCAAACAGAGCCAGTGTTGCCTAGATTTATTAAAACTAGATTTTAACAAATTGCCTTTAGATAGGCCCTTTCCTTTGGTTGTTCAGCTGTTTCAAGTAAATTACTTCTGAATACAATTTGGCAATATTGAAGCCAATGAGAAAAGGGTTGACAAGTTCCATTCAGAGGTCTAATACAGATACTTACTATTGTGCTATTTCTTGCCCAGTAGACCCCTATCAGATAATAATTATGTTTTACCAGCGTAACATATTTTTATTTTAAAAAGTCATTTACTTGAGTAAATACATCAAAATTTTTTTCTCCAGGCTGAAGGATTTCAGAGTTGGTCCGTATAGGAATTTTACATTTACGGTCTCATCCCTAGTAGACTGTGAACTCTGGAAAGCACATACTTTTTTTCCTCTCTCTCTCTAAATCCGCAGCATTCAACACAGTGCCTGGCACTTACATATTATGGACTCAATAAATGTCTGTTGAATGAATCATGAAGGTCAGGAATAGGATGATTATGAATCTTATCTCTTTTTTAACATTTTAATCTTACACTGGAAAGAGAACAATTTTAAAAGACCTGAGTGCCTTACTAAAAACACAGGCAGTTTTTTCGATTATTCCTTTACACCGACCTTCCTGCTTTAAGACCTCACACGAGTTTCATGGTGCTCAAAACAAAAAAACCCTTGTGGTTGAACTCAAACGTGGGTCAGAACATGATAGGCTAGAACTAGGTTGAATGTTTAAAGAAGCAAATTTAGGATTATAAAGGAAGTACTATGTAAGCAAAGTAAGGGTTGGTACAAGATAAAAAACAAAATAACTTCCTAAGTGGTCTGGGTGAATTCAGAACGCTTTAATGAGTTATTTAAAGATGATAGTATGCTTTTGAATATTTCACTGTTTAGAAGATGGATAGCAAGGAATTGTGGCTCTTCTGTTCTACAAATTACTTGCTACTGCTGTCAGGGACAGCATTTACTGGATCATAACCCTGACCTAGAGTGACATTTTTTTCTCAGTTGCAGTTGAGTAGATATAACTGATACTAAATTTAAATATGAACAGTTTAGATTTTTAAAATAATAAAATCGAGGTCATTTTTGCTTTATAGAAATGTGTTATATAAAAATGGTCACAATACAATGTGTTGTGTACAATAATGTATACAGTGTTTTATACAATGTGTTGTATGAAAATAGCCACCTTGACTTCCTTTAAACAGGTACCCATAATGCATTGAAAAATATTAACTATATAAATATTTTATTATAAAAAAGAGACCCTTGTGTTGGAGATCAAATTTAGTGAATTGTGCAGCCATTCTTAACCTCAAAGTTTGTATAATATTCTATAGTATAATATATATTATAGTACATAGATTCTATAGTATTTCTACTACATCAATATTGCATAGGTTTCTTATATTTTATCTATAGGGAAAATGTTCTATTAAAATATGATCATTGATTTTGAAAAAAATGTTTTATTAAGTTTCCTTTTCCTGTTTCATTTTTACCACCTTTCAGGTTTTTTTCTTTCCCTCAAGTGGAGATCTGAGGAGAGGACAGGTATTGTTACATGTCAACTGTCAAGTAACTGTGACACATTACTGAACACTTCGTTGTTTTCAGTGATTATGATATAGGATGTCAGTTTTTTAAAATCTAGGGAAGTTTGCTTTATTTTGGCAGCCTGATCCTGTACTGATCAGGTAGATCCAAAATGTGAAACTTCCTGGGTGCATTTAAATTTCAAGATAAAGAGATAAACTTTTTTCTAATTAAAGAAACAAGTATAGGCAGACTTTCCCTTTTCTTTAAGTACTTTTCTGGAAATCGCAATATGTGTATCCTATTTTTATATAAGAAGGGTGGCATAATTGGGCTGTGCACTCCTGACCAAGGACTCGATGTTCAGTAAGTTATAGAATGATCAAAAATGTAGCAGATCATTTATCTAGAATTCTGAATTGCAGAAGAATTGTCCTAAAGTTTTTTTAAATTTATCATCCACTAAAAAAATCATACCATTGTGATAATTAACAAGATTTGCTCTGCAGTTCCATGCTCAGGGACATGTGATCTGCCAGGCTGTGAATGATGGGTGAGGTCAGAGTGGGCCAATTCACCCAGTGCAGAATGGATGCTTTAGACCCAGTGGTTCAGATTATAATGAATGACTGACATGTTGGTGGTCTCCTTGGTAATGCATGAGTGTGATAGTGCTCAGTTTATGTGTCTTGGTGGATAACAAATTTAAAGCATTGGAATACAGTTATGCAAATACATATGTTACATACCCTATTCCCCAATTGACACAATAGAAAAAGCAAGCACCTCCACTTTAATACCTAGCATTAGATGTCTCCCCCCCATCAGTGTGTCCTTTTGCAGTTAATATGGTGACCTGTATCATGAATATAGAACAAATATCAGATCTCAGATATTCTGGTTGATAAATTCAGTACCAAAAAGCATTAAAACAAAAAACAATTGTAAATCATAATCATTAAGTAAATGTGTCAAAATTTAACAAAACAAACACAAATATACTATATACATTTTATAAAACAAATTCAGGATAAAGTGTATACGTGTGGCACAGAACAATCATTTAATACATTTGGTCTATTT